AAGGGAGGGAATTTGCGCTGGACACACTCACTCTTTTTCACTTTGGAAGAGTAATTCCCTGCCTGGCTAGGGAACAAGGGCCCTTCCAACACTGAACACGGCCTGCCTTTTGGCTTCCTCCCTTCCCTGACCTACTCAAACCTGACCTTGCCCCAGAGCCATGCTTAACGTGCCAAAGGATCTCTTCCCCCGCTGTTAAGACCAACCTGCTTTCCAGGAAGGTAGAGTGGGAAGAGTTAAGCGTCACTTACACTGGGTCAGGGAAGTCAGTGATGATTTCTAGTTTACTGAGTTTGCTCACTCTGACCCAGGCACTCTACTTTACATTGGTCCAACCCAGTGGGGTAGGTCTGAGTAAATCCATTTCAAGATAAGCAAACCACATAAGAAGGACCATGAACATGAATAGCACCTTATGGGCACAGGGCATTTCTGTGACGTTAATTCTAAATAAAGCCTCGACTCTTTGGTGAACAATCAGACATTATTCTGTAATGTATTCTTTTCAGGTAGACAAAGAAAAATTACCATTGGATGAGAAGAAAATGAATACAGAATTCTTTCTTTAAAAAAAAAGCTCCATAAAAACATCCCATGAACCAATTTAGACAGTGACTAAATGATGCCAGAACCCTGACTGAAAAGTGAAATGTAGTCAATTGTTGGTCTCCTGAATGCCAAGGTCTTTGTTTGACTGATTTTTTTTTCTTTCATTGACTTCATTTTTCAGGGGATATATTAGAATTACAGGACCTGGGCATGCTCTAAAATGGCATCATGGGTGCTACCTACCCCATGAGTCTTTAGTGCTGGTTCCAACTGCAGCACATGTTTTTATGGAAGGTGTGGGTGAAACAAATGGCAAATTTGTGCCTCAGTTTACCCATCTGTGCAAAGTGAGATGGCGTCCTTGCTTCTGGAGTTATCAGACACGTTCAGCGCCCTTTGGGCTTACCTGGCCCCAGGACCCCTTCCATGGTGACATCTTCCAGGCTCTTTCACAATTGCTTTCTTGTCTTTTCTCCCCCTAGGCTGAGAATGTATTGAGGGGAGGGGTCTTATCCCCGATATCTGTGGCTTCAACACCATCCGACACAGAACCTGGCTCACAGCGATGTTCAATGAACACTTAGCAAATCACTGAAAGAGATATTTTGCTTGAAATAACCTACATGCCCATCAATAGGGGACTTGCTTATGTAGTTTCGTAGCTTTTGCACATGGAATTCTAGCAGTACTAGTAAACGAGGGGATCACTTTGGTATCTGTAAAGGCAAAATGCAAAGGATATAATTTCTGTTAAAAAAAGTTTTATTTTATTTTATTGATTGATTGCTTGATTGAGACGGGTCTCACTCTGTCACCAGGCTGGAGTGCAGTGGCGCGATCTCAGCTCGCTGCAACCTCCACCTCCCAGGTTCAAGCCATTCTCCTGCCTCTGCCTCCTGAGTAGCTGGGACTACAGGCACGCACCACCATGCCCAGCTAATTTTTTGTATTTTAGTAGAGACGGGTTTTCACCATGTTGCTCTTGGTCTCCTGACCTCATGATCCGCCTGCCTTGGCTTCCCAAAGTGCTGGGGTTACAGACGTGAGCCACCGCACCCAGCCCAAAAAGTCTTGCTTGTATAGAAGAGTTCTAGAGGACTCTCATGGTGCATAGTTTTTAAGATGGCTCCAATGATCCTTACCTCCTTGTGTGACCCTCTCCCCTTGAGCGTGGTTTGGACTTTGTGACTTGCTTCTAATGACCAAATATGGCAGAAGTGAGGGGATGTCACTTTTGAAATTAGGGCATAAAAATACTATAGCTTCTCTCTTGGTATGATCTCCCCCAACCCCCCCAACCTCCCACTCCACTGACTCTGGATGGAGGCAGCGCTGTGGAGAAGTCTGTGCAGTGAGAAACTGAAGAGGGCCTCTGCCTCTGGCCATGAGTACTTGAGGTTCTCAGTCCAACAGCCCACGAGGAACTGAGACCTGCCAACAACCACAGGAATAAACCTAAAGCAGTTCCTTCCCAAAACGGGGAGATGAGATGAGACTGCAGCCCTGATCAACATCTTGATTGAACCTAACAAGAAATCTTAAGTCAGAGGCAACTAGCTAAGCCACACTCTGAGTCCTGATCCATAAAAGCTGTGAGTTAATAGATGTTTATAGTTTTAAGCCACCAATTTTAGGATAATTTGTTGTGCCGAAATAGAAAACTAGTACAGATGTGGAACTGACTGTGCAGAAGTGGTCATCTTTAGAGAATAAGACCAGTATTTTGGGGGTGAGGACAGAAAATCAGATCTGACGCTTACGAGCTGTGTAACGTGGGAAAGTTACTACATTTCTCTGTGCCTCAGTTTGATCATCTATGAAATGGGGATAATAATAGTAACATACCTTAAAGAGTTTCTCGAGGAGCATTTAGTATATGTGCTGCCGAAGCGAGCACTCTCGAGGAGCGTTTAGAATAATGCGTGGCATGTGGTAAGTGCTACCTCTCTATGCCTGTCAATCCAGATTGGTGCTGTTATTACTATCTTTTCCTTTTCTATTCTCTTGACCTTTGGGTTTTTTTTAACCGTGTAATTATATTACTTTCATAGGTTAGAAAGAACTTTAAAAATTTGAAGCAAATTTAAAGCAAGGTGCATGAATGGTGTTAGTCAATTTGGCCTGGGCCAAATCTCTCCCTCAGAGCATTTTGTTGCATGCGTATCTTTCAACGTGACAAAATGCTATTATTTTATTTTGTATAGGAGATATTATGCTCTTGAAAATGGTTTCATATAAATTGTCTCGCAGCAACCCCATAAGGTAATTATGGATAGCACTATCCTAATTTTATAGCCGAAGAAACTGAGCTTAAATGCTGAAGGACAGAGTAGAGATTTCTGGCAACCAAGATCTTTCTAGAACATTCCCTGTGCAGATATACAGAAAACTTCTGCTTTTATGGAATAGCCAGAAGTGATTTTAATGCGTTAGGAATAAGTTTAATATGCTGTTTACTGAAAACACGCAAGCCTACCACCCATGGATTTGGGCTTTACAGCACACTTCTCATTAAAGCTATGATGACATTACTTTAATATCCCTTCGATGACTCAGAAGGCACTTCAGAGTCCTCATCATGACCATCAGCGACTGTACTGCAAGAACACTGTCACTTAAAGCCTCTTGATAAACAGGACTAGGATATTTGGGGTTACTTATCCCAGTCACATTTTTATGGTGTATATCCTAGATGAATTAATTCCTTCACACCTCCTATTCAGAGGACCCTGTCGTACGGTTAACTCTGCCTCTAACTTCTCTGCTGTGAGACTTTGAGAAAATCGCTTTATATCTTTTAACCCCAGTTTTCTTATTTGGAAAATTAGAAGGATGGGCTATTTTATTGCTTTGTAAACTAATCTTCTGAGATATGAGAGTAACGTAGAGAAGATGTATGAAATAAAAATTTCTGGGTTCACCTCTTGAAATTTGTATTCAATAATTTTGGGATGAAGTCTGGAAATCTACAGTTTAGAAAGTTCCCTGTATCTGTCAATAGGGGATGATGAGTTAAATATGTAAATATATACTTTAGATGACTTGGCAGAACGCTGTTAAAAAGAATCAGGCAGTGTAATTTGCATTGATATTGCACAATCTTCAATATGTATTATTAAAAAAATTTCCCCCTAATTCCTGGATTGATCAACAATATGTATTAAGAGGAAAAAATTAGGCCGGGCGCGGTGGCTCAAGCCTGTAATCCCAGCACTTTGGGAGGCCGAGGCGGCTGGATCACGAGGTCAAGAGATCGAGACCATCCTGGTCAACATGGTGAAACCCCGTCTCTACTAAAAATACAAAAAATCAGCTGGGCATGGTGGCGCGTGCCTGTAATCCCAGCTACTCAGGAGGC